GGCAACATCCTGAGGGATAGCCAGCATGGGTTTGTTGCAGGTAGGTCTTGCCTGATCAATCTCATCTCCTTCTATGATCAGGTGAAATATTGCCTGGACATGGGAGAAGAGATTGACGTCATATATCTTGATTTTTAAAAAGCCTTTGATCTGGTGTCCCATGATCATCCCTTGGAAAAATTGGCCAACTGTGGCCTCGGCTGTATCACAGTCTGATAGCTGGGGAATTTGCTCTGAGATCAGACCCAGGGAGTGGTAGTCAATGGAAGTAAATCATCATGGTGCTCCGTGACCAGTGGGGTCCCCCAAGGCTCCGTCCTTGGGCCTATACTTTTCAACATCTTTATTAATGATGTGGACGCTAGTGTCAGAAGTGGACTGGCCGAGTTCACCAATGAAACCAAGCTTTGGGGTAAAGTGTCCACACCTGAGGACAGGATGGTGACCCAGGCCAATTTAGGCTTAGAAAATGGGAAGTTGAAGACCTGATGGCGTTCAACACCAAAAAATGCAAGGTACTCCACCTTGGGGAAAAAATTCCTGCAGCACACTTATAGGTTCGGCAGTGCTACGTTTGCTAGCACCACGGCCAAAAGGGACTTGGGGGTCATGATTCGCCACAAGATGAATATAAGCCACGAATGCGAAGTTGCAGCTAATAAAGCAAGCAAAACTCTGGCTTGCATACATAGATGCTTCTCAAGCAAATCCCAGGATGTCGTTCTCCCATGGTACTCGCAGCTGGAGCACTGCATCCAGTTTTGGGCTCCGCAATTCAAAAAGGATGTGGAGAAGGTTGAGAGAGTGCAGAGGAGAACCACACGCATGATCAGAGGGCAGGAGAACAGGCCTTATGATGAGAGGCTGAGCGCCATGGGGCTCTTTAGCCTGGAAAAGCGCAGGCTCACAGGTGACCTGGTGGCTGCCTACAAGTATACATCAGAATCTGGGGGAACGCCTGTTCACCAGAGCACCCCAAGGGATGACAAGGTCAAATGGTCACAAACTCCTCCAAGACCGTTTCAGGCTGGACATAAGGAAAAAGTTCTTTCCTGTCTGAGTCCCCAAGGTCTGAAACAGACTGCCTCCACAGGTGGTGCAAGCACCTACTCTGGACTCCTTTAAGAGACATTCAGACATTTATCTTGCTGGGATCCTTTGACCCCAGCTGACTTTCTTCCCCTGGAGCAGGGGGCTGTACTCGATGATCTTCTGAGGTCCCTTCCAGCCCTAATGTCTATGAAATCTATGAAAAGCAGCAGGGTCAGACTATTTCACCTCCAACAAAAGCCTACAGCATGAATCCACCAAGTAAAAGCATGTGACTATTACTTACATGCTCTGAGGGACATCTCAGAAGTTGTCAGGGAGTGACAGAGATCTTGCCTTCCAAGTACAGCTACTGCAATTACTGCTATTTCCATTGCTCTTTCAGGGAAGGTGGATGCCACAGTGATTTGAGCTGTGTGATGAACTTGGCCAGTAGTGCCAGTCAAGAACAAATTTTATGATATAGGTACTTGTCCACCTGGACCTGGATTAAGAGGTCACTATACAGATGTCTCTCAACAGTGCTTGGATATAGCACTGGGTGCCAAGTTTGACAAATGTCACCTTTCCAATTCCACAACTAGTCGTGTTTTGTCACATTCATTCCTCACTCCAAATTCTGCACAGATGTGCTGCAGAGAACGTTTCGGTCCCCAAACCAGCAAGAGCTAGAAAGGAATTTTAACAAAAGAGCTTTCCCAAAATGGGAAAATCTATTAAAAGAGGGGTTTGAGAAAGACATTGGAGAAAAATCATTCACAGCTAAACTGAGAAACTACTAAGTTGCTGCAGCCAAATCCTTAACTGTAGAAGTCAGGATGTCTAATATCACACTGCTCCATGGGGCTGTGTGTCTAAGGACACAAAACATGCATATAAGCTATGTGTTGGGGCCTATCTCAACCCCCCTGCCTGTTTCAACAGCCTACTACTTCAGGGTTCATTATAACCTACAGGAGCCTGGGCCTTCTGACTTCGCTGTCACTGAGAAGTTCTTTACTGTATTAACTGACCCACTGATTAAAAGTGCAGAACCTGGGTCTCTTCATTTCCACATGGTGTTACTACATTTTTAAAGCCCTGAACTCTCTCTTTCTCTTTCTCTGTTGCAGGTACATGGCTATTATCCACCCACTGCAACCCAGGCTGTCAGCCACAGCCACCAAGGTGGTCATTGGCATCATTTGGTTCTTGGCTTTGCTGCTGGCATTCCCGCAGGGCTACTACTCAATGACGGCAGAGCTGCCCAGCAGGGTGGTGTGTCTGGTGGATTGGCCAGTGCTGGAAACCAAGGTGTACGAAAAAACGTAAGTCTTCTCTTTGACAGAGCTGGGAAAGAACAGAAAGGATGTAAAATGGTATGACACCCCCAAGCAGAGAAGTAGGTGGGGAAGGACTCAAGATACCTTACAATTGCGGGGTATCTGTTGGTATGGAATACGTCCATCTGATCCCAAGTAATACCCTCTGCCCATTTCACGCTACCCTGTCCCATATACTCTTTATGTTCTAGGGTGTGAAGGAAAATTCTTCCAGTTCACAAGGCATGTCACCCCTGTACCCAGAAAACAACTTCATCATCACAGTAATATTTAATATAGTAGCTCAACTTTTACCTAAGGATCTCAGACCACTTTACAAAGTCTTAGCACAAGATAAGGAAACAGGCAGAGAGAACTGAAGAGACTTACCTCAGATGGCAACATGGCAGAACCAAAAAAAGAGGATCCAGGTCTCTTGAATTCCAGACTGCCTCTGATCTAATGTAATGACCTATTCCCATTAAAAAACCCAACATAACTGTGCAGCTAATTACCAATTTCCCTTTTAGTGTTAGTAAGGATGTAGCTCAATGCTATGTAAATCCCATGATGTTGCATCCATTGTACTTTTTGTTTGCACAACGGTAGATTTATTGTCTGTTTTGGAAAAGGTACATGCTCTTGAGGTTAAGAACTTCTACATAGTTTTTCCCTGTCCTACCAGACAGGAGGTAGAGAAGTGGTAATTATAAAAAACAATGGGTTAGCTTTGCTGGAGGCCTTCCATTCAATGGCTTACCCAGCTTAAACTCAAGGAGGTCAGAGTGGCTGGTCAACACATTACTGGTAACGTGTATTAATCACTGAGAACTAACCGATACAATATAATCAATGCTTTAGCTCCAACACATCTGCAACAAGAATGACCTGCTGCACTAACCTGCAATTTTAAAATGATGGTGCGGGAATTTGAATTTTCATGTTCTACAATTTGGAATTTTCACATGAAACAAAATGTTTGGAAATGCTGCCTGCATCAGAACATTTGATAAAATCAAAACATTTCATTTTTGTTCAATTTCAGCTTTTATTTTTTTTATAATTCATTAAATGAATTCAATGGAGTCAATGAAGGCAACACATTCCATAGGTTATAGCTGAATTTTTTCCCCCAAAAGTTTACTGAAATTGTAAGTTCCCACAAAACGTTTTGATTTTAAGGAAGTGGAATTTTGGCAACGGAAACCTCTTCCACTACACATTTTGCCCAGTTCTACCATTTGATTTCTATTTTCAGTGAGGGAAGAATAATCTACTAGGGTACAAGCAAATATAAACCAAGAAAAAACCAGTTTAAGAGCCAGCCTCTGAAGAACTTGCTCACATTGGATAGTGCTTTACCAATAAGCCACCTCATTTATTTCACCTGTATAGAGAGGGCCCTAGGTAACAAACCCTACCACCTATCATCTTGCAATACAGGTAAAATACAAGTTAAATTGGATCTGTTATGACAGATGATCAAAATACTACACCCAAGTCAATGTTCTGCCTGGCTGCGTTCTGTTCTCCAAGGCTAGCTCTTGATGGAAATGTCATAGGGAGACGACAGAACGTGATAATCAGTCTGCATTGATGCAGATGGGTTTTGCATTACTCTTATCATTTATACATGCCGCTTAATATGGCTTTATTTCAGATGGGAACTTTCATACAAACTGCACTTCATAGAGCAAATACAATCCAGAGGAAAATGGAAAAATCGAGACACAGCAGAAAGACTTGGACAAAACAGGGGGAATTCAGAGTTGAGCAACAAAAATGATCAAGGGACTAGACTGACGGGGGAAAGATCAGAGGATACACTGTTGAGGCCATAAGTGCAGTAGTCTGAGGACCATCTCCAGGGAACACCAAAAAGAGAGAGAAGCTGTTTAGAGGTGGGCTAAGGCAAAGAATCTGGGGACAACAACAGTAAGTTAGGCCAAAGAAATATTGATATTAATGTCGGCTGCTAAGAACTATTCCATAGTCATAGATTCATAGATTCATAGATTAAGGGTCGGAAGGGACCTAGTAGATCTTCTAGCCCGACCCCCCGCCAGGGCGGGAGAACAACAAAAAACCCCAAAAAGAGAAACGGGACTCAAATGAGTCCAGCCAGGTAGGCATCCAGCCTCTTCTTAAAGACCCCCAGGGTAGGGGCCAGCACCACTTCCCTTGGAAGTTGGTTCCAGCTCCTAGCCGCCCTAACCGTGAAGTAGTTTTTGCAGATGTCCAATCTATACCTCCTCTCCATCAACTTGTGCCCATTACTCCTTGTTATGCCAGCGGGCGCTAGGGGAAACAGCGTCTCCCCCAAACCCTTCTGGTCCCCCCTAGTGAGTCTATAGACAGTCACCAGGTCCCCCCTCAGCCTTCTCTTGTGGTCATAAGGCATATTAGATTATGAAAAACCCTTCAAGGGATCAAGGGAAGCCCATACAAATTAGGCAAAGCATGTAAAATTAGGCAAAGCACTACTATGTATACAGAGAATGGTTCTGCATGGAGGGGTGGCTCCTTCCAGCTCTTATCTCAATGGGCCTATGATTATATGGTAATACCATTTCTCCTATGTGCTTGAAGCTCTTATGTCTTACACTTCAGAGACACCCTCTTGGAGTACACGGACTCTTCCCAGCTGCTATTTTGGCAGTTCAGCCTTGCTGAGGAGGCCTCAGGATGTGTTGAACCTAAGAAATTCATATCCGTTAGATACGTAAAGGAAGACAGGCTTTGTGTATAGTAAAAAGGCTCTGTTGAACCAGATAGGGATAAAACCAGTAGGGATACATTACAAACTACACTGAAAATCCTGTAGCATCCTATAGAGAATAAAAGCCTCTCTGAGTGTTTTGAAACATACTGTAGAGTTCACAGTAGTGATACGATCCTCTGTTAAATCATATGGACTAGTTTGCAAGCACAGAGGGAGGAGATTACTCCATATAGCAAATTCTGTAGGAATTTTCACACAGATTTTTCTATTTCCAAGCAATTGACTTAGCCCTAATTAGTACAAATCTGTCCTTTGGCACCTGGCTTACTCACTTTTGTGCAGCTCTCTTGTGAGATCCAGCATGGCTCCTTGCTTCTCACCAAAGTCACTTGCAGGTCATCATTCATGCTCATTAAGCCCTTAATGTTAGACAGTCAGGTGTTCTTCACACACACGTGAGATACATAAACCAGAGCAGAATTGGCAGATGACTGGTCTGGTAGGAGTTCTTCCAGTTTGAATACATTTTCCTCCCACTGAGGTTTCATTTAATTATTTCTGGCATTTCCAAAGGTTCTGGATGGCCCCACTGCTTTTGACAGCACAACAGCCTTCTGTGCTTTCCACTTTGATGTCTGGGAGGCTGGCTGCGTCTGTTCCTTTCTAAAGCAGCTTGTCGTATGGCAAGTTAAATGTCATGAGTTAAAAAAGACATTAGTGATCTAAAATCCTGTGGAATGATCAATTAAGCCCTGACCCAGGAGTCTCATTATCAAACTACGTGGTGCGCTGGAGCCAAAGCAAAAAGATTCTGCAAGAGCTATTTGAAGGATCCCACAGTGCAAAACAGGTAATGGCCCAGAATTCATATGAGAGATGATTTAGTTAATTAACTGTGACAGGGGAATGGCAAAACATTAAGAGACACTCTTTATTGTTTGCATACTTGGAGAGACAGGCATGGCCTTGAGAGCTTGTCACCTAAATACACAATGGGCAAGACACCCACTTCAGGCTATGCTGCACATCAGTGACAGAGCAGAGACTAGGACTCAGGTTGCCTGACATCCAGTCCAGTACCCTGAACCACAGTCTTATGCAGCATTACTTACTGACTCCTTCATCCGCGGGTGCTGAGGGAATTGGCTGGTGTCATTGTGGAGCCATTGGCACAGCTGTTCGAGGACTCCTGGTGCTCAGGCCAAGTCCCTGACGACTGGAAAAGGGCCAATGTGGTCCCTATTTTCAAGAAGGGGAGGAAGGAAGAGCCTGGCAACTACAGGCCAGTCAGCCTCACTTCTATCCTGGGGAAGGTCTTTGAAAAAATTATCAAGGGTCACATTTGTGAGAGCCCTGCAGGGGAAGCGATGTTGAGGGGTAACCAGCATGGGTTCGTGCAAGGCCGATCCTGCCTGACTAACCTGGTCTCTTTCTATGACCAGGTAACAAAGAGCTTAGATG